CCCCCCCCCCCCCCCCCCCAATGTGCCAGGACTCATCCCATTTTGTCTATGTGAATATTAATATATTGACACACACTACGTCTGGGCCGCCTGTGGTGTAACTAGGACGTTTTTGGAAGTTTCACGTTATAGTGACGTGCAATGCAAGGCAAAGAAATGTATATAAACAGTGTGCTGCAAGCGCCAAATTTTTTTTTTTTGCCAATTACACCTACTCATTTTTGGGGGGGCTGTTTTCGTTGACGTCGCCGCTTACTCATTACACGATTTTATATTTTGTTTGAGTAAACTGTAGATATTGACGAGAGCTTCGCTTTTAGGCCTGGCTAAATCTATATATTAGACAGCCCGATTATCAACCTCAATGCACAGATTGATTTACTAAGGAGGGAGGCCAGGCCGACATCTATAATATTGGTCTAACACAACTTTAATCATATCAAAAACTAAACTTATATACAAGGGTGAATACTTACAAGAAGGCTAAACATGATGTATCAGTCACTTTTAGAAAAAGCAATAACTGTAAAATAGAATTCTAGCGTGACGCTTACTGTGAATCAGTGGAAGCATTATCACATTATACTAATAACATATATATGTTTAGTTATCTAAGTTGAATTTGTATACATAAATGTCCACTATCAATTTGTTCCAGTCTTCAAGATCATTACATTAATACACATTGTTTTGTTTTTTTTTTTCAATCACACCCTTTTGCTATGTAAGGCTATAGTAGTGACCAAACAAATTTTCTCTTCTCACAAAAACCCACACTGTTATTATGAAAAAAACAACAACAACAACAAAACAGTATATAAATGGAAGCCTAAGAGCTTCGAGATTGCTTAGAAGCTACCTGACTGCCGAAAAAAAACCCTTAACTCCTTTTTAAAAAATCGAAAATATAATGTCAAAGAATTATGCAGCTCAAATTATTGCTGTTCAGAAAAAGATATTTACACATGCTTAGAAAAAATACTTTATAGTTTATCTTCCTTGCTTTTGACAGATTTTTTTCTTCCTGGTTTATTTTGTTACCTCTAAGATCTAAGCTTTGTTGAGTGCAGCGATGGCGGTGAAGTGTTTTACGTTCATCAGTTATCTGGTTATTATTGAGCTTTAAGTTGTTTAGTTTGCAGTTAGTGAGTCTTTAGTGTGTGTGAGTGCTGTAGATAAATGTTTAACTCCTTCAGCAGTTATGTTGTTATACCCGAGGATTAAGCTGTTTAGTTTGCAGTTAGTGTTTGTGAGTGCCGTAGATGAATGTTTAACACCGTACCTTCATTAGTTATGTTGTTATGCCTGACGGTTAACCTGTTTAGTTTGCAGTTAGAGTGTGTAAGTGCTGTAGATAAATATTTAACTCCTTCAGCAGTTATGTTGTTATCCCACAGGTTTAAGCTGTTTAGTTTGCAACTAGTGTGTGTGAGTGCTGTAGATAAGTGTTTAACTCCTTCAGCAGTTATGTTGTTACTAGTGAGGTTTAAGCTGTTTAGTTTGCAGTTAGTGTGTGTGAGTGCTGTAGATAAGTGTTTAACTCCTTCATCAGTTATGTTGTTACTAGTGAGGTTTAAGCTGTTTAGTTTGCAGTCAGTGTGTGTGAGTGCTGTAGATAAGTGTTTAACACCTTCAGCAGTTATCTTGTTACGACTGAGGTTTAAGCTGTTTACTTTGCAGTTAGTGTGTGTGAGTGCTGTAGATAAGTGTTCAACTGCTTCATCAGTTATGTCGCTACCACAGAGGTTTAAGCTGTTTAGTTTGCAGAGACCCTGATTGTGTTCGTTGCCGGGTAACAACTTCGCAATCTCAATACATCCTAGCGACCGAAGGTTGTTTTCGCTTAAATCAAAATACAAAATTCCTTCGACAGATTTAAGTGCATGTACTAATGCTAAACAGTCGAGAGGTGACAGGTTACACTTACTAAAATTAAGCGCGTTACAACTGTCAATTTTCGCCAGTTTCTCTTGAACTTTTCGACCAGAAGCTTTGTTTTCATACATGCAATTGAATAGCATCACCACCAGAGGCTTGTCTTCATCTGCTGGCCAGCAGGTCAGAGTTTCACTTCGTTCCTGTGAGTCTTCACTGAACTTGATTTCAACTTCTTTAGTATCCGTTTTTGACGGAAGAAGGTCGCTGAAAATATCTGTCGATTTGCCTTCTTTTTCATCCAGCAATCCAGCAACAAACTGCATCACAACCTTCCACGCGCCATACTGGATGTGATCGGAAACAAACTTCTGCAGGTCTTCGGAACTGTACGTGTCTACCAAATACTTCGCCGCCAAGAATTCCTGCATAGTCAGGTGTAAAAAACAATATTGTTCTCTTTTCTCTCCTAAAGGACGTTCTCTAGTGTCAGGTAAACGGTGGAACAAGCCATTACTCTTTAGGTCTTTAACTTCGTGTGATTCAAAAATTAGTCTGCCATTTTTAATTCCATTAAAGGCAATTTCTCCCAGACTTTTGAACACTTCTTGTACAGTTGAAGAAAGTTCCTTAAACGGCTTCAGAAAAAACTGTTGACCTTCGGCTTTATCGTGGCGATATTGATTATCATCGTAACTAAAGTAAAACATTTTTATTGCAATTGAGTATATCTCTGTCAGTCTTGTCGGGAGGCTAAAGCCAGTGCTACCAAGCAACTCTAACAAGCACGAACAAATGATGAAACAATTCACAGGGATGTAGCAGAAGGCTTGAAGGTTTGAGTTACTTGTAATGTGTTGCTTTATGGTTTCTGCTTTGTCCCCCTGCTTTGAAAACTTCTCTACATAATCTTCCACTTGCTTAGTCGTAAATCCCAGAATTTCAACTGTTTTGTCGAAGATAGGACTTCTGATACATGAAACGGCATTGGGTCTTGTAGTCATTAACACTGTCGCACCGGTAAGAAATTTTCCGGATAATATTTTCTCTAGCAGGAAATGGACAGGCATCCTGTCTTCTTCGCTGTTTCTGTACGGGACGTCATCTTTATTGATTTCAGCCTTCCTAGAATATTCATCAAATCCATCAAAAATGATCAGCACTCGCTGTGGGTTTTCACGGATGTAGCTCCAGGTCTCTTCAGATAGAGTTGTTGAATACTCTGAGTGATCCAGAAGTTCGCGAAGATTTAGTTCTTTGTCGGTAAAGTTGAACATCCTCAACTTAACTAGAAAAGCGACTTTAAAATCTATTTGTGATTTTTGTGTTTCGTTCAACAAATTATCGGACGCCCAGTCGCGAAGAATCTTTGTGCTAAACATAGTTTTTCCAATCCCAGGACGACCGACAACAAGAATCTTTTGCTCTTCACGATCGAAAATTTTTCCTGGCACTGTTGGTGACAATTTTTCATTGGCTTTGTAATACTCTTTAAGTTGTTCCCCTCTGTCTACAGAAAAGTTGTAGTGAGCTCTCCCCTCGTAAACAATCAAGTTGGTGAAGATTTCGTCAAGCTTCAGATCTCTTCCTTCGCCTGGATCATCGGCAAAAGGTGATTTAAGATCTTTGTAAGGTCGTTTGGTGACGTCTCGCACATGTCTCTTCATTTGTTCAAAGGAAGGAGCTACTAAGTTATTGGGAATAGTTGGTAATAACTCTTGCTGTTGTTCTGCCGTAGAAGGATTTGGCTTAGTCGAACTGAGATAATATTTATAAAATTTGGCGTCCACTGTGAACCTTTCTACTTTTTTTGCACGTAATAACAAATAAAGACACTCGATGAACACGAGAAACGCAAACGATCCAGTTACAACGATCACGGAAATGGCCCAGAAGGTCTTCTTAGCTGCTCGTTGATTATGACATTCGTATGACGTTTGCGTTAGAGTTTCGTTGCGAGACGCACTGGCCGTAATGTCTGATAAGCGCTCGTCTCTCGTTAAGTTACACTTAAAGTTCGAGGGAAAGCTAAGAGGATAAAGTAATTTGGTCTGCAGAAGGACAAAAGAAATCCCAAGAACAACTCTGGCAAGAAGTTGCAAACAGTACGCTTGAAAAAGCTTTCTTTCAGTTAAGCTATTGTTTCTCTGTTGAGTCCGGTCTTCTACATCCTGATTCCTGTCTCGGCGTTCAAGTTCCTCAACTCTCGACTTCACCGCATGGGAGTATATTCCACAAACACTTGCAGTAACAATGAAGTTAATAATCACGAATCCATAAACAGGGAATTTGTTGTATTGTTTATCGTACTGTTCGTAACACTTTCCACGAATGAGTTCCTTGTCGCCATTTGAGCCACAACGAAAGTCAAATCTCGGTTCGCTGTTTTCAATGTCTAGAAAGACTGCTGATAGGATAATTCCGAGCAAAATCCAAAATACATTTGCCACATAACTGAACCAGTGGAGTGTTTTAGGAGCAAGCAAATCTTTAAGACCTTCCATGTTGAAAGCGTCTTGATTTCTCGCTTATGAGCTACACCAGTAAAAATGCTGGTATTTAGCTTTTGTATTCTATTAGAAATAATGGAACGAGGAAAATGATTCAGATGTAGTCAACCATGGCTGTCTGGTATATTTGAATCACAAAAACACTGTTTGTTGAACATTCGCGTCAGGTCAAAGTTTTCGTATCTCGAATATTCGGTGTTTAAAATTCGCATTAACTGATCAGCCTTTCTGTTTGTTATTGTGAGCAATCCTTCAACATGAAGCATAGGATTTTCTGCTGCACTCGCCAGCGAACAGGCTCACGTGGCAGCCACACCCGCCTGTGCTGCGAGCTATAATATATTCTTGAAATATTTGTGGAAAATTCTAAAAATAGCCGTAGGCGTGAATCCTTTCGTTTCCAACGGAGAGCCGAGATTAAACGTTCCATCCCGCTCGAACGAGGTTTAAACATTGCATTTTCCTCCCAAAATCCGACAAATTCTCCCACTGTGTGATAATTGCGATATCAAAAACGGGCGAAAGCAAGTGAAGAAATTTGGTCAATCTTGGCTGATTCTGACAGTCCAATACTTGGTATGTATATTAACTGCTGCTATTTTTGGTTGCGTGTCAGGCCAAAGAACTTCGTATCTCTTTCTCTCTTTATTTTTTTATTGTCCCCCGAAGAAGATTAGGCCAGGAAAGGCTGAGAAAAATGAAAAAGCAAGTTCACTTTATAGGTTAAGACAATTGACAATAGCTAAGAAGATGAAAAGATGCGTGCCTCTGAGACGGAATGTGGCCTCGGGGAATGAGGTTCAAGTTTGTACTTTCCCAGTTACGCACGTGTACACATGAAAGTGAAAACATGTTCGTTTTCTTCAAGAGCTGAACAAGAATCAGTCTAGTCCAACCCCGTAAACCTCGGTGGGGTCAGTTTTAATCTTGTACCCAGATCCCACTCTGGCCGTGGAAGATCTGGGTACGAGATAAGGGCAAGATTAAAATGGGCCCTTGAAAGTGCACGTAAAAAATGCTGAAAAATATTAATTCGTTTAATATTTTCTCTTCTCAAATACATGTTTATAAAAATACAATATCTGATGTCTTTTCTTTATGTAATAGATATAACTGGTTGCAAAGAATTAATTACATATTCCTCTGTATTTCCCTAATTTTTAGACCAGCCACTATAATTTTTCCGGCTAAAATTACTTTTTCTCTCTCCTCCCAAATTTTGGGGATTGAGAAAACAGCAGATATTTCCCGACGTTACAACTGGTTTCCTGCGAAATGACGTCTGAGGATCGATAACAGATCAGTATGGAATTTTTGAGCTCCTTCCACGGGGAAACCAATGATAGCATCGGGAAATGTCGGCCGTTTTGTCAGGCCACAAGTTTTTGAGGTTGGCTGGCTTTAATCAGAACCAAAACCCCTCTCAGGATCAAAGTAATCTTATCTCTTATTCCTTCTACCTAAAAATGAAATTGTCAACCCAGAGTCGCCATCCTTAAGGATGCTCTTCACCCCTCTTCCGCTCGTAAAGTAGTCCTTTATGCCGACGTTACGAAGTGAAGAGTGACCTTCAACGAGGGAGACTACTCCTTAAGAAGCTTCTACCGTCCTTACGATCCTTTTTGATAAGGGAGACCTGGTCATGAGAGCAACTGTTTTTTCGCAAGTAGAAATCATGCAATTTCAAAAACAAGGCATGAAAAATATCTATATCTGTATTCTGTTATACTATTTCTACTTTGACAATCTAACGACTAAATTGTTTCTCCCAATAAGAGATCACTTGTGGCGAATATTGCGCCATATGTGCTTACATAAAAAACTATATCAAATTCCTATAATTTGCTTGCTTGCTTGCTTGCTTATTTCGAGCGAACTCGAACTCCATTAACTAGCTTCATCCATTCCTTCCGGTTTTCCATGATGCTCTTCAGTTCAGCAATGCTCAAGCCAGTATCATTTCGCAGCTGATCTACATATGTTGTTGCTGGTCTTCCTCTCTTTCTTGCGCCGTGCTTTGGTTCCCAGAGTAGTAGATCACTTATCACCTCATCCTTTTTTCTCCAACAGTGTCCTATAAACCACAGCCTCCTGATCATCAGTGTATCTGTAATCTTAGGAAGGTTGCCGTACAGTTCTTTGTTGGTTTTATGCTCCTTCCAGGAAACTCCAAGAACTGCTGTGAGCATTCTTGTGTACCTACCATCTAGTCTATTCCTTATCTTTCCAGTCATCGTCCAGCAGTCAGCACCATAAAGCCGTACACTTTCAACTGTGGCCCGAAAGAAACATACTTTGAGATGATTTTTTAGGTTTGATTTCCACGCTTTCATCATTTTGTTGAGTGCACTCCAAGCTTGTCCAATTTTTATATTCATGTCCTTTTCACTGGATTGTATCCACGAACCAAGATATTTGAAGTTATCTACTTGCTTCAATTTGTTCCCTCCCAGTGTGACAAGATCTCCTACAGGTTGATTGTACAGCATGTATTTCGTTTTCTTGTAGTTAACATGCAGACCCACTGTTTTCGTAGCAACCTCAAGACTTAATAAGAGAAGTTGTGCCTCTTCAAGATAGTCAGAAATTAGGGCAAGATCATCCGTGAAATCGGTGTCGGTGATGTATGCAGCCACGTGATGACGGGAGCTCTGCCGTGGTGTAAGCGTGAACCCAGTGTGTGTTTCTCTAGTATAAATAGGAAAGGTGCGAGTGTATCTCCTTGCAGAACTCCCGAAAGAATTTCAAAGAATTCCGTATCACCATCAGGAGTTATCACCTGTGCTTCGGTGTCCTTGTAGAGTATGCTGATGGCATCCACAATCTTTGTTGGAATTCCGTATGCCTTCAAGATCTCCATCAATTTCCCACGATATATCGAATAAAAGGCTTTACTGAAGTCTACGAAAGTCAAATATAATTTGAATTACAATATTAACTTATATATAATACATTTTACATAATTTTCCTATCACGAAGTGTCATTAAACGAGTCTCTGGTCTGAAATCAACGCCACTAATACCTTCCTTAACAAGACAACAAGATATACTTCATGTTTGAATACCATATAGTCATTTCCCTCACATGACCGCATGGCTGTATGAAGAAGGCGTCAGTAGCTCAAGGAAGACTACGTATAATTTTGCGAGCCTTAAATAGCCGTAGTAGCTCGGGATATTATGCGTAGTCGTACATGACATAGTTAGCCATACGGTCAACTAGGCAGGTGGCTATATGGCATTCAACCATGAATTAAAATTATATTCACATCGGTACGTATTGCGGTCAAATCCCTATACAATCCCTTAGAATATTTCTGTTGCGCAACAACGATTCTCATTGGTGAGCTTGGGTCGGTAATACACGTTTTGTGGGATGCGTTTGCAATATCGATCTTCCTTTTGACAGAAAAATTTAAAAACCTCTTAATTAATGAAATTATGAAACCCTTGTCAGCTTTTATAAAACAGTCCCGTGAGTGTTAATTTCCTTTTTCTTGATAGAGAACCCGGGCGGGGGAGGGGGGGGGGGTTGTTACTTCCTTATAAGAGGCTAATGAGGATGTGCCACTAACTGGGGTCGCATGTTCTCGACTGGATTGACTCTAATGGGGTCACATTTTCAAGAAGGTTACTAGAATGCCGTCGCACATTTTCTAATTTTGGGGAGTAAAGACCAGTCTCTGAAATCCGGAGTCCAAAGTCTGTCACCTTAATAAAGCTTATTGAGGGTTTCCAACGACGTGCTGCGCGGCTTCTCCAGCAGCTCAATCTTCTCCCATTGGTGTACCAAAGAGAAGTTAAAGACATAACAACATTTTATAAACTGAAGTGTGGTTACTATAACTATTCAGTTAAAAGATATTTTGACTTTTGCTCAGACAAAAGATAAAGGTCATATTCTAGTAATAAGTTAAAGATTAACAAAGTCAGAACCGAATTATTCAAAGGCACTTTTTTCAATAGATTACCATATTTATGGCACAACCTGCCTGATAAACTCAGGACCTCTAATTTAAGCCTATCATTATTTTAAAAAAAATGTAATGAGTTTTATAAAAAGAAGAACTTCGACCCTGACCACCCGCATGTCACTTGGATGTACTGACTGTTGTAAAATTATTTTCTGAGTAGATTAATCTAGGATATGATATATTAGCAATTATAGTTTTTACATTTAAGATATAATTTTAATTTTTTTTCTTTTTCCTTATTTAAGTAAGTGTAAGTGTCTGTTGTAGTTTTTGGATGGACTAGCTCGAATGGTTCGTATGTTCCCCTCTAGTCCTTCCCCACTGCAATATTTTTTTTTCTAGTATGTAGTTAATTGCTCTCTTATGTAATTTAGCTAAGTTTTGCTTTATATATATATATATATATATATATATATATATATGTATGTATGTATATGTTTTATGTGTGATACCTTTGTTTCAACTAATGCAGTGAAAATGGAATAAATTAAATTAAATTACATTAAAAATTAAGACAACTTTTCATATTTATTGTTAGCAAACGTAACAGAATGTTTCTACTGTACATGAAAAGTAAAGTGTCCTTCATTCGATCTAAAAAATGGGTCAATTCGTAAAAATAGAAAGTGACCAAGTTGGGATCGCGAAAATTACAAATTTGCCCAAAAGTGACTAAGATGGGGTCTATAACTGGCCACAGAATAGACTATAGAATTAAAACTTGACAAAATGGCTTAAATTTTTTCAGGTTTCAATCCATGTCTATATATCCTTGTCACCCATAGTAACAGACGACAGCAATCAGTTTTTCAATGCCTAAATATAGTCTTAAATGGAAAAAAAAACGGGACCATTATTTTTGGAATTCAATTGATGCGAAGCGACTTGAATTCTAGCTTTAAGATGGCAACTCCCTTTTTTTATTTTATTTTATTAGCTTTGCCCAGAAGAATAAAAAAGAAAAACAAAACAAACAAACAAACAAAAAAACACTGAAGATATGCAAACACTAGTAATAAG